TACCCCCGAAAAGCCCAGCCCTCCAGCACTGACATGCGGAGTCCATTTTCAGGGGGAACAACCTGGGTGACCTGGTTCCCCTGTAGTTGCCCTCTGGCCTCTGGTGAAGACCTCACCTCTCTGTCCTGGTCACCATGGGTAGAAGGAACTGGCTTTGAAGATTTCTGTTTTGTTTTAGAACAGTTCAGTACAACTCAGGAGCTCAGGCGTCCTTGCACTTGCCAGGGTATTAAATGGCTGACTTTTGAAGATTTTGTGAAGTGTTAGTCTTTTTCAGGAAGAAGTGGCTACCTGTGGCTGGGGAGTGGGGAATGAGGACTGAGTTCTAGTTTAGGAAGATGGAAAAGTGCTACAGATGGATAGCGGTGATAGTTGTACAACGGTGTGAACGTTCTGAATGACTCTTGAGCTGTACACTTAAAAATGGTTAAAATAGTAAAACTTTATGTTATGTACATTTTACCACAATAAAGAGAGAGAGAGAGAGAGAGAGAGAGAGTTGCTAATTTGAATACTTTCCTGGGTGGGCCCTGTGGGAAAAGCTGATTCATAGCTTCTCAGAAACTGAAATTTTGTGTGTGTATGTGTGTGTTTTAAAAATAAACCTTCCTCCTCTCACCCCCGCCCTTAGTTCTCAACCAAACAGCAATGACTGTGATCCACCATCTCCAAGGTTCTAGGGAGCAAAATGGAGGAGATGAAAAGAAGGAGCTAATGGTGTGAAAAGACAGGCCTGTCAATGTGCTACTTATTATGGTTCTGAAAGGATTGTTTTGGTAGCAAATGACAGACACCTTCCTTGAGCTGGCTTAGCCATAAACGAGAAGGTATTGGGAGGATCCTGGAGGTGCTGGAGGGAACATTAGTTTCCTGTTGCTGCTGTAGCAAATCACCACAAACTCAGTGGCTTAAAACAATACAAATTTAATTTCTTACAGTTCTGGACATCAGTGAAGTCTAAGGTGCATTGGCAGGGCTGGTTCCTTCTAGAGGCCCTAGGGGAGGATCTGTTTCCCTGCCTTTTTCAGCTCCTAGAGGCTGCCAGCATCCCTTGGCTTATGGTCCCTCCCTCCATCACACCATCTTCTTGCTTCCATGGTCACTTCCCCTACTACTGACTCTGACCCTCCTCTTGGGAGGACCCTTGTGATTACCTTGCGCCCACCTGGATCATTCAGGATGACCTTCGCATCTCAGAAACCTTAGCCACAACTGCAAAGTCCCTTTGCCTATATAATGTAACATATTCATGGGTTCTGGTGACCAGGGAGCTTTCTGTGAAAGCTTGCAAATAAGGAAAGGACTACTGATGGCCCCCATACCCTCTCGTGGGGACCTTCAACTTCAGGAAAGGGGAGAAGTGGACCCCTTTCCCACGCAACAGATGGCTGCCTCTTGCCCCGCCACACTCAACTATCTCCACGCAGACCTTGCATCTGAGCCGGAAAGCTCCGACCGCGGTGACCTCGGGGCAGGGGTGGGAAGGAGAGGAGCTACAACGCCCACTTGGCTGTTGTTGTTGGGGATGAACAGAGTGACCCCAGGGGGGCGTCGTGATGGCCCCCAGCCCCACCTGAGAGCTCTGGCCTCCCGCACCCCTCTCAGAGCTCTTCAAAGAGTTCTCGTCTTTGTGATTCACAAACATGCCCACACATCCTCAGATGGTAAAAAGAAGACAATTTAAATCTCTAAAAATCCCACCACCCAGAGGTAACCACAGTTACCATACTGGTGTATATCTTTCCTGACATAGACTTAAGTAGACAACTTTACAAAATCGTTATACTAGATGCTTTATAATCTGCTTCATTCACTCAGTAATATGTTGTGATCACTTTTCTATGACAATAAATGTAGAATTACCATTTCTAGTGGTTTCATAGTATTGTAGAGAATAACATAATTAGTATATGATTGACTACCCAGTTGCTTTTAACTATTATAAACCGTATTACCATGAACCTCTTTGCCATCTGTCTATGTATCTTCTTAAGGTAAATTTCTAAATATGGAACTGCTGAGTCAAAGTCATATTTATTTACATTTGGATATTATTGTGGGTTAAATTGTACTCCTCTCTCCTCCCAAAAGATATGTCAAAGTCTTAACCCCTAATATTATCCATATTTTCTTCCAGTACTTCTATAATTTTGAAATTGGAATCTATGTAGGTAGTTTTTCAAAGTGATTAGACAGTACAATGAAATAAATAACCCATGTTTTTCATGCTGATCTGAAATGCCACCATTATCATATCCCAAACGTACAAGTGTACTGGGGGCTATTTCTGGACTCCCTCTTGGGATCACTGTTGCAATTAGCCTAACTAGTCATCTACTCTTCTTTATCCCAACTGGGAAAGCACAAGAAGTCACCACCAGAGGGCGCCTTCCATCCTCCTTGACGCCCCCCACTCCAGGCTGTCTAGCTGCCAGAACCTGCAGGCTGCATTTCTGTTGTGAGGAAAGATCAAACAGGCCACCCTGACTTCCTGCCTTCCTCTTGTGGTGGAAAGGCAATAGTGGAGCCAGGGGAAGAGTGTAGGCAACAGGATGTGGGCAGGTCCACAGGCCCTGGTGTGGGACCCGAAACTTCGCTCTCGGGCCTCCCTCTGCCAACACATCCACTCCCAGTCAGCTGGGACAGAGATGCCAGCTGTTCTCAACGCACTCTGGCTTGGTTTATCCACACTCTCTCCGCTAGGTGAGCTGCTACATATCCTTCACGGCCCAGTTCAAATGCTGCTACTGGGACCCTCGCAGTCCTACTCCTGTCTGTGCTCCCTTAGCCCCAGCATCCATTGCTTTCTGTAGCAACGACTTATGTGCCCTACTGTCCTGGAGAACCTGTGCTCCCCCAGGGACCATGACTTGCTCAGCTCTGACCAGAGACTTGTGAGCAGAGGGCCTGGCACAAAGGGAAGGACATTGAACCTCGTCTACATTCTATCATGTCTTCACCTGCCTCCTACACCTTGAGAGACTTCCCTGAGTGCAGGTGCTTGTCTGATTCTTCTTTCTGGGCCTCACACTGCCCAGCACAGGGTCTGGCAAAGCAGGCCCTCAAATTTGCTAGAATGAAGCAAACTTTGGTATATGTAACTCACTTCTGTCCGTGGATGTCTTTTTTCAGTCAACATGCGTCTCTCAGGCATTTTCTGTGCCCTGGGACTGTGCTGGGTGCCTCAGCTGGAGAGTAGCTGAAGAAGCGCCCTGTCCCAGCCAGGGAGAGCAGGCAGTCACAGGTGGGAGATTCCATGGCCTCATCGCTGGAGCTGCTCGATGTTTAACAGTCAAACTCTTTCATTTTACAAACAGGGATATCGAGGCTCAGACAGGGGAAGGTTTCACATTGGAAGTTGTTGGCAAACTGACCTTGGAATTCTGATCTCTGACACCCCCGGTTTGGGCTTGCTGTACCAAGCGCACTGTGGAAGCAGCAGGCCTGTTGAGCCTGCTGTGTCACAGCCAGATAGGGCTGTCCCAAAGGGTTAATGACATCATTTACAAATGAATCGATGGAACACAAGCCAAGGATTCTCCCGCTTTAGTAGCAGAGGATAAGCTTTACCTACAGAAGAATTCGTTCACTTCTTGAAAGCTCATTTAAAATTTGCTTTTAGGCCCTGGCTGGTGTGGCTCCCTGGATTGAGTGCCAGCCTGTGAACCAAAGATCGAAGGTTCAAAGATCGAATCGCTGGTTCGAGTCCCACTCAGGGCACATGCCTGGGTTGCAGGCCCTGTCCCCAGTAGGGGGCATGTGAGAGGCAACCACACATTGATGTTTCTCTCACTCTCTTTCTACGTCTCTCCTCCTCTCTCTAAAAATAAATAAGTAAAATCTTTCAAAAAATAAAATAAAATTTGCTTTTGGGGAGGTTTTTGAGCAGCCACCCTTTAGATGGACCTTAATAAGAAAGAGAACGTACTTTGCAAATGGACAGAGCTAGGTTCAGAGTCCCTCCCTGGCTGTGCAGAGTTAATTCATGATATAACCTCCCAGAGCGCCAGTGTTGCCACCATAACATGCAGATGATCGTCTCCCAGGTGAGAGAAGGAAAGGAGAACGCTGGCGCCAGACCATGGCCCCCGCAGGGGCTCAGTCACGGGGTCGCCAGTGTAGCGGGGCACCACCCATTGTGCTCCTCTCCTCCCAATGCCACGTCCAGCGACGAGCTGCCAGGGGCTTGGAATCGGCCACAGTGGGAGGAGTTACATCCCAGCACTTAGCAAACACTACCGGTCAGGTGGTTTTTTGTTTCCCAAGACATTTACAAGACAACTCAGGGTGTCATCATTATTGCGGAGAAGAAGAATTTGTGACCTCTGGGCAGACCCAATGCACACAATTAGGCTGTTTTTACTAACATGACCACTCATCGCCATCAGAATGGTCAGGTCAACAAAATGGTCAATTGGTTGTGGTTGACTGGCCCCCGTTTTGAGGCTGTCAGCCTCGCTGGGAACCCTGTCTTGTCGCGTTGTGTGGAAAAATTTAATTCAGTCAAAATTTCTTGACTCCGCCTGTGAAGTGCCCTCAGAAACAGGAGTCCTTCCCTTTCCTCTCCCAGCAGAAGCTGGGTCAGCAGCCCCAGGGCTCCCTGGGCGTTGCGAGGGCTGCTCTCTGTGTGGGGTGGGGTGTCGGTCACAGGCGAGCTGGGTGCTCACCCAGGTCTGCCTCTGGATGGGAGTCAGGGTCCTCTCCTCCGGAGCTCCGGCAGTGCTCAGGGCGGGCTCAGCTGTGAGGATGTCCCTGTCCCCCTACCCAGGGCCCTACCCCTCCCCACTAGGACAGGCCCCTGGCGCGGCCTGTGGGTGTACAGGGGGGAGCAAGGAGATCCTGGCTCCTGGAAAGTCTCGGCAGTCAGATTCCCTGGAAGAACGGATGGCCCAGTGGCTGCACTGGGGCCTTTCCCAGGGGGCTGAACCGAAAGAGGAAGTGTGGTCAGGCCTTGGCACTTGCTGCTTGGGGTGGGTGGGAGGCCTGTGGGTGAGGAACGCCTCTCGGCCGCTGTGCCTGAGACACGGCACTCCGGACACTGCCGTCACCTCAGCAGCTCACGTCTGAACATGATTACGACCCAGGTAAGCATCTGGGCTTATGTCAGTGTAAGTGCCTGTCTGGGCTTGGGCTGGGGGCTGTGGCTGGAGCCTTCATATGGCCACTGGGTGGGGTTGGAGAAACACTGGCCTTGAAGAATCCACTGTGCTGGTCCCTGGCTGGGCGACCTTGGAATCCCTCTGCTCCTCCCTGGGCCTCCGTTTCCTTGGTGTGTTGGGGTAATGAAGAAACCCATGGGTCGGGTTGAAATGACAACAACTGGGAGTGAGATGCCTGTGCTGCGAAGAGGTTGTGACCGCTCTGGATTCTGATGGCGAGTTTTGGTAACTAAGGGCCCTACGGGGTCTGTGTTGTTCGGAGAGGGGGCGTTCGCTGTGTGAACTTTGGGCTACGTCTTGGAGGAGCTGTTGGGTGAAAACCCTACACCACCAGCAGCCTGGGTATCTCTGTCACTGTGTCCCTGTGCTCTGGGATTTATTTGTAAGGCATCCTGCCTTCCAGAGGCCTCAGGATCGAGGTGTGTTAGGTTGGGGTCAGATCTCCATTTTGTCATCTGCTCTCACCCTCTGGAAAATTACTGTGGAGGAGACCTGGGTTCTGCTCTGTTGATTCCACTTCCACCTTCTCACTCATTACTTGTCCCGAAAGCCACTCCCTTTTCTGGCCCTTTGCACACACTGACCTCTGAGGGGGCATCGAAAGTAGACACTGATGAGCCCGGAAATGACAAGGCCTGGGAGCTTCTGTTTATTTTTTCAGGGTCTTCTCTCCCGCCTCTGAAAGCTGGAAATCTGCAGGGAAATAGGGAAACAATGGCCCCAAATCCCGCCACCTCACAGCAACGGCGGGGAAGAGTTTGGGTTTTATCGTCTAATCTTTTTTTCCTGGGTATACGTATTTTGATGTAAATACATTCTAGAAATAGAAATACAAACATGACTGCTGTGGTCAGGGCCCAGCCGTCTCTGTCCCCTCCACCCGCTTATAACGCCAGCATTATTGCCTGGGAACCACTGAGGGACAGCTTTAGAGTTTTCCTCCATATTCTTAGAACCAAACACATAAGAAAAGTGAGCTAAGCAAGAGACAATGTGGTTGGATCCAAGGAAAGGCTTCTGGGTTGTAGAAATCTGGGAGTAAATGTACAAGGAAGCTTGAATAATCTGCCACTTCGGGAGGCTCTGCTAAGGGCGACCAGCACCTCAGAGATACGAAAAAAGCAACCTGTTTGGGATCAGGGAGCAAAAGCTCTTTTTAAGACATGGTACCTGAATTTTTGAAAATGTGTTTACTTTATGCTTCACAGCAAGGCCAGGTGATAGCGAAAGAAAGAAGGACCCTACTCCCACCCACTAGAAAATCAAAATCATTCTTCCATGTTTGCTCCCCGTCGTCCCCAGCCACAGCCTCAGGGAAGGGCGCGCGTGGATGGGGCTGCAGCAGAGACACAGGCTGTGCTCTGCTCTTGTCCTTCTAAGCGGTTTCCCAACAGCCCCCTCATGATGTTTTCTTCCTGTTGCTCGATTGCTGCATCCTATCCCATCAAGTGACTCTGTCATTTTCTTCTCCAGCCCCCTCAGCGTTTGACTGCCGGGTAGCTCCCTGTTCATCTGCACTGCGGTGCACATATTTATGCACTTAGGTTTTACTCCTTTTAGATTATTCCTTAGGTTAGATTTCTAGAAATAATATTATGGAATCACAAGACAGGACCATTTTTTAAATGTATTACCATTTGCTTTCCAAAAAAATTTAAGTCAATGTATATAGGTGGCAAAGGCCATGTGGGAGGATCCGTTTCACCACAGCTTTGCCAGAACAGGGTTTTATTACTCCTTTTTCATTTTTGCTAGCAAACAGATGTAGTTTCTAACTGAGAGCAGACAAATGTGCCAGGAGACAATAAACCAGCACGGCCAAGGGCGTAGGAACCGAGTCAGGCCCTGTAATGAACTAAATCCAACACCGAGATGAACCTCGGAGCGAAGGTGTGCTCGATAGGCTGTCCCACTGAAGGAGGCGGGGGCGGCCAGCGTGGCTCTGCGTAGTCAGAATGGCGGGTTCAGTTCACCCTCTCCTTCTTAGTTCTCTAGGGTCAGCCTTTCACAGAAATGGGAGGATAGACAGTGGGAGAAGAGAAGCTGCGCTCCTTTTAGTTACATTTTTAATTGCCCTGCCCTTTTCCAGGCACACTTGACTTTTAAGCTGCCAGCAGCTATCCACATGGCCATTTCTGGTGCTGACCTCAGCCAGCAGATCAGGTGGGAATTTGCCCCCACTGAGCCTGGGGAGTGACTGTCTGGGAACTAGAGGCGAATTCAGGCAAGAAATGCTCCTACTGACCTGCAAGTATCAGCTGAAATGCTACCTCCGGTCCCCCAGGCCCTTGGGATCTAGGTTGATAGCAGCTCATCTTATGCTCTGCTGAAGTCCAAAGCCCGCCCCAACGCTGCTGTGGGTCCCCAGGAGGACGCCCCTTTCGCTTGGCTCCGAGCCTCTGCAGGAGCCTCTGTCCCGTGCTGCACCGACCAAGGGGTGAAACTCAGCCCCCTTCTTGGTTCCCTGCACCCGAAGCGAAACCGCTCAGCAAAGCACTGGCCGATACAATAGATCTCACTAAAGGTTGGGTAGGAGGCCCCCCGAGGGAGGTTTCTAAGTGAGCAACGCAAACAGCCGTCCTGTCCTTCAAATGTCACGGCCACCCCGCCCCTGGGCACTTGGCGCCAGTTGCCTTTCCCAACTTCGTGCCCCGCGGCTGGCTCCCCGCCCTCCCCTCCTCCCACTCCTTCTCATCCCCCTCCGCTGCCCCCCAACTCCAGGTCCCGCACCCAGGACACAGAGGAATCCCACCTTCTCCAGTCCCTACCAGCCAGCTTCCTTCCCAGCCCAGGCCGCTGAGTACGTTAAAGGCAGCTCATTCTATTTTTTACTTTTATTTTTAAAATGAGGTATAAATAAAATGCACAGGTTTTAAATGAGCAGTTCAGTACATTTGACAATTATGCATGTTCTGTAACCACTGCCCAAAATAAGATGTAGAATATTTCCATCAGCCCAGAAAGTCCCCTTGCGCCGCTTTCCAATCAGGCCCCTTCCTCCCCCATTGCAACCGCTATTCTGATTTCTACCGCAGTGAAGTCATTCAGTCTGTTCGTGAACGTCCCATATAGAGAAGCGCACAGATTGTGCTCTTTTACCTCTGGCTTCTTTCACTTAATGTTTCCAGGATTCATCTACATTGTTGTGTGTATCAAGAATTGGTTTTCTAAAATTTCTTGGTAGCATTTTATTCTATGAATATACCAGCCTTTTTATCCATTCTTCTGCTGAGTTTCATTGTGTTTTTACAGATTCACATTCTTTGAGTAAGCACAACATGCCCAGATGGTTGATATTAAGAATAAGAGTGTGAACAGGGCAGAGGGGGAAGAATTTCAATGGGAACATGGGGATAAAAAGAGGAAAAAAGCTGACATTTTAATAATACATTTTACTTAACCCAATATATTGAAAATATTGTCATTTCAATATGTAACCCATGTAAACATTTATTTGTTTATTTTTATAATAATTATTAAGTTTATTGGTTATTCTTTTCTTTTTTTTTTTTTAGACAGAGGGGAAAGGAGGGAGAAAGAGAGGGAGAAAAGTGTCAATGTATGGTTGCCTCTCACATGTCCCCTGCTGGGAACCTGGCCTGCAATCCAGGCCTGTGCCCTGACTGGGAATCCAAACTGCTGCTCTTTGGTTCGCAGGCCGGCGCTCAATCCACTGAGCCACACCAGCCAGGGCCCACGTAAACATTTATTAATGAGATATTTTTTACATTCTTCTTTCCACACCAAGTCTTTGAAATCTAGCGTACATTTCACACTTACATCTCAGCTCCAACTTGCCACCTCGCTCAGTAAGTGCCTGACAGAACGGCCTCATGGGGCCAGGGGCTGCTGCCTCTGTCAGAGCAGGCCTCGGCCTGGGGGGGCGGGTGTCCGAGGCCACAGGAGGAGCTGGGGTAGAATTCCGACCTCCCCAGCTTCCTGCTGAGCTGTTTGCAAGCCTGCCTCCTTCTGCGGACACTTTTCTGAGGGCTCTTCCAATTCCAACTTTCTGAAACTCTAATCCCTCTACACACCCATCCTACCTACACCTTTGAGGACTCATGGCTGTTTCAGATCATTTATTCTTCATGAGAAAAACTCGAATTTTTCAACGTACGGGACATGACCAATTAGTGGGTTGTGAAATAAATTTGGGGGTTTACACTCAGAACTTTTCTTGATGAGATCGGCTGAAATAATGGAGAAAATGTTGGCGTGCCTCGCGTATCATAAAGGCGTTTTAAGAAATTTGTTTCATTTATGTGCATATACGAGTAGCTGTGACATGGAAAGCTGTATGTCTCACTCTGAGGATCTTGTTGGGGGAAAAAAAGTGTGAAATAAACCCACAGTCTCCAGAATTGCCAGTGATGCACAGCAAGTGTGATCTCTGACACTGACCCCCCAGCAGTGCCTTTTGAGGAAGTGAGACTTGGAGCTCCATGGCTGTTGCTTGAGCTGCTCTCCCCCCTCACACCACGCAGAATTGCAACAGGCTCACTGACAACAGTGTCCAAGGTTACCGAGAGATGGGGAGAAATAAGACAAGCTGGAACTCCCCCCTCCTGTGCCCATGTGGCCTGTGCTTCCCAGTCAGCTGTTCGTTGCCAGGAGCGGGGGCGGGGGGGGGGCAGAGGGAGGGCAGGGAGCCTGCCTAAGGTTGGGTGTCCAGGTGAGGTGGCTTTGGAATTAGAATTTCAGCCCTTGGGTCCAAGCTGCTGACCGCCCTGCATTGTCACTGAGGAGGTCTGCCAGAGGCAGGGGAAAGAGGCCAGGGCATCGTGCATGTCTATAGCCACAGATACGCATGAAGCGCCCACTGTGTTCCAGGCGATGCACTAAGGCTCTGGAAACAACATTAAAGAGACAGGCAAGGCCCTTGCTCTCACGGAGTGTACAGGCCAGTGTGGGAGACAGACAGTGAA